TGAGCTTTATGAATGCCAAAGTATTCTGTAAGTCAACTTTAATAACGATGGTTCCTTTGCAGTCATAATGTGCAATTTGTGACTCTCTATTACGCTGTTTACTTTCATCTTTATTCTTTTTCATCCTCTTTTCAAGCTCACAATGACAATTACACCAGTAGGTAAAAGAAATAGTTTTTATTTGTTTATTATAGTACTTTTTATGGTAAACATACGAATAACTATCTCCTTTTTCACAGACCTTTACGATCTCAAGTCCTAATGAACTTGCAAAATCTTCATCAGTATCATTGTTTCCTAATTCATAAAAAACATCCACAACTATCTCAAGATCCATATGCATGTTGTTTTCTCTTTCATTATCCATGAGTTTTTCATAAACAATATGTTCAAGTTCTTCGAATTTTATAGCATTTTCTTTTTTCTTGCTAATATTGTTTAGAATTTGATCATCATGTTTTCTTTTTCTACTTCTATTTATGTGATATAAACATTCAGAACATGTTTTTTGATTATTTTGAAATGCAATGCTAGATTTCATAATTCGACAGAACGAGCAACATTGTGTAAAATTCATATTTTCCATTTTAGAGAATATTAGAAAATATTCCGAAAAATTCAAAGAAATAAAAAATTTGATGTAAATTATTTTATTATTTTTATTATTAATCAAATATCATTATCATCATCATATTTCATATTGTTATCATATCAGAAAATAAATTTAAGTTCCGTAATACGTACATGATTTTGGTAGCGATACTAGATGGGTGGTCTGATTAGGTAAGCAAAGATTTAATTTAGAATAATCATGGAACGAATATTAGTAAGAAATGAATTACTGTATGGATTTTAAAGGTCTTTTAATTAATTATTTATTTACCAAAACCTGAAAAGTTTTTGTTAAAATAAGTTTGAGAGGCATTTGTAAAATATACACTTCACATCTATATTTTTTACTATCTACACTTTCCCATGGTATTTTTAAAAAATCTTTATCATCTATCGATCTTGAATACCAATAAAACGCCTTTTCTTCATCTATCATAACACCTATACC